CAAACAGATACTTGGGCAGTAGAGGTATTATGGCGAAAGGATGACGCATTGAGCTTAAAATCAGTGGAAAAGGCTGAATGGGCCGAACAACCTCCTGCTGTTCCTGTTTTCTTATGTTCTTAGTAAACAAATCATTCAAAGTTACCAAATTAATTCATTATGTCAGTAGCTTGACTTTCAGTCATGTCAAGTATTTGTCCTTGGTACACTTATAAACTTATAAATGTGTACCTGTGTTTGTTGTCTGAACATGTCCCTGTGTTTGTGGTGTACACTGTTATCAGTGGAAACCAGTTGTGTTTAATGTTTGCGTTGGTGTTGTGGTTCATGTTATATAGTAGTGGGGTGGGGGTGGTGCAGGGAGCTTGTTTCATCGTCCTCAGATACAATATCAAAATTATAGCATGGTGGAGGCGGGATGTCTGACTACCCCATGTTTTTTAACCTTCCTTATGTTGAGATAAGTCTCTTTAAGATCAGAAACACAGTTTGTGGAGACATCAGGATTATCACAAGAAGAAAAGGGGTTTCAGTGGAACAAATAAATATAGATTTAGGTGTCAGCTGTCTTGATGGGTAGCGCTCTTGCCTCTGAGTCAAAAAGTTGTGCGTTCAAGCCCACATCAGGACTTTGAATTCATTGTCTAAATCGACATTTCATTGCAGTGCTGAGGAAGCATTGTATGTCAGAGGTGCCGTACTTGAGATGAAATATTAAACTAAAGTCCTGGCTGTGTGTTCAGGTGGATGTTCACTTTCAAAAATAATAATTTCTCTAATTAATCGAATAATGAAAAATAATTTTCCAATTGTTCTCTAATTGAAAAGAGAAGGGAGTTTCTCCCACTGTCCTGACCAATAATCCCACAAAAAAAAATTGGTCATTTATTTCATGGCTGTTTGTGGGACATTGCTGTGTACAAATTGGCTGCCACATTCGCCTACAAAACACTCAGTAAATCCTGTGAAGCGCTTTGTGGTATCCTGCTGACGTGAATGGCACTATACCAAATGCAAGTATGATATTAAAAAAGCCATGGCATTACTCGAAGTGAGAAAGGAGTTTCTCCCTGTGTCCTGGTCAATAGTTCTCCAAAATAAAATTCATTCACTTCACAGCCACAAATTGACTGATATGTTCACCTACATCAACTGCAAATTGCAGTACCTCCTGTAAGGAATTTGAGATATCCTGCCAATGTGAAAGGTGGAATATCAAATGGAAGGATTATTTTATGTTTGAGAGAGTGAGAGAGAGGGTTGTTAGAATGTGTAGCTTTTTACAACAATTTTGTACCTGAGTCTATAACAGTATTTAAAGAAATAATTGAATTAATACTTGAGGGAAAATAATAATGGCTGAGGGATTAGGAGTAGATAACTTTAGTTGGGGGGAAAAGAGGAAATGGGATAGCTAGCGCAGCACAGATACAATTAGCTAATTATCCCTTTCTAATCTGAAAATTGTACATAATATTAATCCTTGCTTATGATATAGCCCATTATCATATTATTGAAATGTGCCAAAGTGTTTCACAGGATTTTTTACTGTGAAATGCAATGGTGGTGTATGTGAAGACAAATGCTCCCAACCAAGTCAATTGTGAAAGTAAAGGCTACTCTACAAAATGTCTCCCCGACTCCCAAATTACAACAAACACTGACAATGGAGCGAGCTCCAGGAATCACAACAAACATAAGGGCCTAATGTAACTTCCTGTGATCAGAGATGCTTTCTGAGAACTCATTCGAACTGGAGACAAGCATCCTCACAATCAGCCAGCAATACCTCTGTCTGTTACACATGGTGCATTTTCATCCAATTAATTCAATTAAAGTTCTATGGTGGTGTACTCACAGATAGTCCCCAGTCAATTCAGCACAGATCACAAGAAGACTTTGATTGGCCAGGTATTTTGCATTTTAGCCAAGCCATATCTAGGCATGCAGCTTCCCAGTGCTCACCTTAAAAAAGTAAGGTTTTAATTTGGTGTATATCCTTTTGGAATCTCTTGATGAGGAATCAGTCATGAATGGGGACTTCCTCTGGCATGTCATGACAATCTGCTGTGGCTGATACAATCTACTTTCAAGAGGAGTTTCTGCATGTTAATGGAAAAGTTAACTTTATTACTTATTAAGGAATCCTATTAAGAAATACCACAAATTAGACCTAGGTTCTGGGTTAGTAAACTACTCATATCGAATTTAGGCTGTGCCTGCCTGGTAAGTATAGAGGAGGATACTCCTTACAGAGTCTCCATATGTTCCCATTGGCAAAAGTGGAATGTGTCACTTTGGAGATGAGAGAGTGGACTGTATTTTTTTGTTTGCAGTTGTCTTTGAATATTTGCTGTGTTAAACCAAATAACCTGCTAACGGCAGCAAGGAGGAAGGTGAGAATTAATCTCAACCAGTTTATCGGGTGAAGTCATTTTATTTTTGGAATTGTTTGCATAATGAAAAGGTTGATGGTTTTACATAAAGACCATCACAAATGAGGAATTTCAGCATTCCAGGCACTTTGTTTGCCTTGTTGTTGCTTGTTGTATGCCCAGTTCTATTCGAGGTAGAATGCTGTTTTATGTATCACATTGTCAGTGTCTTGATGGAGAAGTCCAATGGAATGCAAAGACTTCAGCTGTTGTAGAAGTCATTGGCAATCTGGAAATGAAAATGAAAGAAATAGTGGTGTATTTGGAATGTCAGCTTGGCTCAGTTGGGAGGGCTCTGACCTCTGCAAGTTGTGGGTTTAAACTCGACTTCAGGAATTTTAGCTCACAGTCTAGGCTTTCACTGTAAAAGCACATTTTCTGGATGATATGTAAAACCAAGGTCCTGTCTGACTTTTGAAGATCCCATGGCACTATTGGGAAAGAGAAAGGAGTGTCCTGGCCAACAATCCCCCAGATAAATTGATTAATCGCTTCATAGGTATTTGTAATACATTGCTGCATGTATTTGGTTGATACATTTACCCATAAATTTACACCATTACTAGATTTTAAAGAAACACTGTGAAGCACTTTGAGATATTCTTGACCTTATATGACCTTATATCAAACGCATGGGTTATTACTATTTATGAGTGCCCGCCAGTATTTTCAACAGCATCTGGAAACATCTGCCCAATAAATTCTAAAACATCTGTTAGAACAAGTTTGAGCCCCTCCCAATGCCATACTATTGTTTTGAATGCGAAGGTAGAATGCTAGTCTTTTCGTGAATGGTATGAATGTTGCTCTTTATCCTGAGTGTAAGAAGAGATTTTTTCCCCTTTCCTCTTTTCCTGTATACTCTCTCTCCAACACTAACACACACACATGTTCTATTTCTCCAATCCCCCCACCTTGCACCCTCCTTCCCCTCTTTTAGACCATGACTGAAGACCTTCCTTTTCAACCGTGCTTATGGTCACTTCCTCCGTCCCCCCAGCTTGGCATTAGACTTCGCCTCTGTTAAGCACTCTGAAATGTTGTCCCCCCCACCCCATGAATGGTGCTATATAAATGCAAGTTGTTGTTGTTATTCTTCTCACTCACAAACATACACTCCCATTTTATCCTCCCTTCCCCCAAAATGACAAAATCAAAAGGTTTGAGGAGGAAGGCTCCTTCACCCCATTTGATCTCCTCCTTCCAGAATACCAACCTACACTGTCTTCCTATTAGAGTGTCAGAATAAGTCCAGTAGGTTCAGTGGTGTCTGGTGACTGTTCTAACTGTTGATTACATTGAAGGAATATCTCCTGGTGTCCTTGTCAACAATATCCCAAATAATAATAATAATAATTATCCTAGCATTTGATATAGCGCTTTTCACGTCTTCTAGACATCTCAAAGCACTTCATAGAATATACTGTAAAGGGAATTGACCGTATATTTGTGGGCGAAATAAAATTCATCATTAATTCTATGGCCATTTGTGTAATACTGCTGTATGCAAATTGGTTGCCACATTCACCTAGAAAATATACACTCCACTTTTCCGGCAGGGTGAAACATTAGGCAAGTTTCCTTAATTCATATGCTTTCGTTTACCTAGCAATAAGCAGGAACCCGGTTATTAGTCGATTGGTGGATCGCTTTTCTGGGAGGAATAATTCGTTCAAAAAATAAATAAAAATAATTTGGTCACTCAATCCATGACTGTTTGTGGGACACTGCTGTGCACAATTGGCTGCCACGTTTCGCCCACAAAATATACAGTTAATTCACTTTGCAGTATATTCTGGGAAACACTTTGAGATGTCTCAATGAAATGATAAAGTGCTATATCAAATGCAATTACTATTATTATTATTACTATTATTAAATCCTGTGACGCACTTTGAGGTCTCTTCCCTATGTCAAAGTTGCTATATGAAATGCAAATATTATTGTTATTCAAAGTAAAGAAATGCTTCTTGGTGTCTTTCCTAAAATTGCCCTTCACAACCCTGAACTTGTGCCCTCTTGTCCTGCTTGCCTTACTGTATCTGACGATATTGTCCTTAGTTTATTTTCTCTGTCCTATGTAGCATCTTATACAGAGTTGAAAGGAATCCAAAGCTGACTTTTTTCACGGTTGAAGAGCCCAATCCATCTAGCTCTTCTGATAGCTCCTCCCGCTGACACTGGGAATCACCTGCCCACTGCACTGTTTCTGGAGCTTTAACGTCACAATGATTAGAATGAACCGGATCAAAGTGGTGCAGCCGCCTGGTGAGGCTTCCTGTAAAAATGGAATTCAAGTCTGTGATTTCCACTTTGAGTCTCATAGTTGGAATTCCAACACTTTAGAGAGCAGGGCACCAGTGCAGATATCTATGAAATCACCATCCAGAATCCTCTACACAAGAATTTCTAGGCTCAGTACTCATTCCCACACAAACGTGTGATACTAAGAGATGAAAAATTCTATACGAGCACAGAGAAGAAAATCAATAGTTCATTAAACAAATCAAGTTCGGAAGTGCAAAGCTAATCCTGTTGTGGTTAAACAAAGTGAGACGTGCAGGCAATAAAGGAAATCTTGCAGTGAGCAGGGTCTTAACGGAGTGCTTGTGAAGAGGGAGGAGGGAAGGGGTGTGGTAGGAGTGCTGTCAGAGAGAAAGAGCAGTGACAGATTGCAATGTGCCAGGCCAAACTCAAGAGCTTCTTTGTAGTGAATGGATTGAGAGGAGGCGTGTTCTCCCCTCACACAGCCCCAGCTCTCTGACATCACTTGATGCAGGAAAGGAATTTTTGAGGAAAGCGAGAGAGAGAGAGAGAGGACATTGTGATACACTATCAAGCTGCAGAAACGCAGGGGAGACTACATCTGTCTTACTGCATATATAATCTGCTGAGGATTTTGTTTGTGTGGGTGAAAAACTTTGACGAAGACAGCAGTACGAAGGTGAGATTCAGTACTTTGATAGTTTTCATTCATGGTGTTGAATGTGGTAGAAGTAAAATCATGTGGCTCCCAGACTAGTAGATGGGAGTATAATGCAGCCCTGAACTAGTAGAGCGATGCTTTATACTGTCCAGCAAATGCTTGACAGTCTTTTCATGACATCCTGTTGTGGAGTCGTACTTTAAAGAAGAACCAAACTGAAAGGGATAAATGATGGTCACTCATTTAGGGTACACAGCACTTGTAAAGACAGTTCTGTCTTTCCAGAGCGGGTGAATCCAAACTTTTAGGGCTTTATCATTGAGTTTAATTGCACAGTGTCAGGAGACTCTTCATCTGCTGTAAAACAGGAGCGACTGGTGCTTTAGTGCTTCCCAGAACGTGTGCTTTAGTTTGCAAGGTTGCAGCTGTTAAGTTGTGAAGTGCAGTGAGAGGCGGTGGAGATCTGTAGACTATTTCCCTCCTGCTTGGGTCCTGACCCAACTGTCCAGCACCTTGGGACGTCCTCCCGACTTGAAAGGCGCTCTATAAATGAAATCTTGTTGTTGTTGTAGAGTGCTGGAGGTGGCCTTGCTTGATGGGTGAATAACTCATAGAAGCACAACTGCAGACTGAATTTTTTCTTTGCCTCTCAAAGCGCTTCACAGAATATTCTGTAAAGTGAAGTGACTGTATATTTTGTGGGGGAAACAATAAATAATGTGGATGTGCACGCATCCCATGTTGGGAGTTCCAGTAGACTTAGTTACTCAGTTGTTTCAGACAAATAGCATTCCCTCTCTGGCTTTACATTTTTGTTCAAGCATTGTTAGTTAATGAGATAGACAAGAGTAGTGAAGATGGCATTTCTGCTACATTGTGCAATTCAGTACAGCTTGTTCATGTAGCCCCATTTCTGTATATAGATTTATTGTTTCAAATCAATAATGAACTGTAAGGGCCACTTAAGAATATAAGAAATGCTAGACAAAGATAGAATCTCAACAAAACTTTGCTTGAAAAATGCATGACACTTTATGGCAATTACTTCAGACGTGTCCTTTGCGTGTGACATGTACGACAGGAAAATGTTGTGTAAACAGAAAGGAGGTTTGCCAAATATCTTTCATGTAGACGGTGCCTATTTAAGAGACCCTGGCCTATTGCAAGATTTACCTTAGCCTAACTGTGTCAGTGCTTCAGCAGAAGGTTGCAATTGCCTTGAATAGGTCAGAGCCATGAAGTATAGTTTGGCTTGCCTTTGAGTATAAATCTGAAGTTCTCTCTGATAATCCTTGAATTTGATATAGAGCATATAAAGGAGAAGTTGGGTCTCCTTAGGGTTAAATTAGCTCCAAGGTGACTTGCTTGGCCACAGAATGTCTGAATTGAGTAATTCCCCTTTGGTGATTCGTTGTTGGGAAACCAGTCTGGCTGCTGGGGAAAATGATCCCCAGTACTCCAGAGCAATGCTGATAATGGACCAGCCAACCTGGCTAGTGAGTAGATTTTGGATGGGTTGGACCAGTCATTAGACCCAGAGATATTTCCCACTTGGCTTCTGTTTACTCTGCAAGCCAGAGCCTAACTGGTTCTAGATTGCCAGACAGTACTGCCATTGGCAAGCTGTGCAGTTTTAGCTGGTTAGACTTCATCAGTACCCCAGTAGATACTCTGGGGACCCCAAGTGTTAACTCTTGCCAATCTGCAACTATACTCTCTGAAATTATAGAAACAAGCAGGATGTGTCCCTTCAGAGAGAAAGTGCGCAATCAATCCCAGACAAAGGGAAATTTCCATGTGTAGATGAAATACATAAGTGGAACTCTCAAGCTCATTTGGATACTCTTCAGCAGTGTGATGAGTTTTCACATGTGTCAGACATCCAGCTGACCAATATATATATGATGCACAAAACATCAAAATGCCTCGAAGCACGTCCCAGGTAATTGCTTTCAAGTGCAGTGACTGTATATTTTTTCGGCAAATGATAAGATAATAAGCATTCGCACACTCTGCCACTAATCCCTGCTGTCATATTATCATCAGCATCGGAAGGAATGACTGCACTAAAGAGTCATTCTTTAATACTCCTCGGGGTAGGTTCTCATTGCGTTTTTTGTTTGCAGGGCTTTTAAGAAGCCTTATCTTCCATAACTGGTTGTTTCTAAAGGAAATACTATGATGTCTATTTCTTGGCGGAGCATGGTGATGATGGAGTTCAAATCTCACTGTTATTTCCAAGCAGTTTGGTGCAATGAGGAATGCTGATCAGAGAAGAACAATAACGTGTACCTTAAATTTATGGGAATAAAAATGCAATTTGAGCAGCTTCAGAAAGGCTCAGTGGGCAGCTCAAGCGGTGGTAGTTGGTGCTTGATTTTTTTCATGTTATATGATTTTATACAAGGTTTTTCATTGTATTGTGTGTTATTTCATATAGAAAGACGGGACTCTGTCTATGAGTCAGGCTGACACCTAAACTGCTTAACAGTTCCTACAACTGCACTTGCCAACATATGTTAAACCAGGTCAGTGAATGGCATAGTTTAGTGTAGCTTTATCTAATCAAGTAATCAGAATCAAAATTCAAATTCATAGAAAAAAAATGTGGAAATGCTGAAAATCCAGAGCAGATCAATCAATGGTTTGGTTGGAGTCATACGGGAAATGTTAGCCTATTTTTCTCTTTCAGACACTGAATGACCTGCTATGTATTTTCAGCCTTTTCTATTATTGCAAAAAATCCTAATTGCCTCATTGGAAAGGAATTTAAATGGTGCTTTGTTATTAGGTTAATCTGTTTCAGGTCACCAAGAGAGAGTATTTGTGATATAATTTTTTTTTGGTCAGCCAGGTGCGGAAACCCATCACGATGCTTAAGAATATGCATCCCACCGACAAAAATAATTCCCATGTATGGAACTCTCACTGGAGGAACCCAACCTAATTCCTGAGAGTATAAGGCTTGGAGATTCCAGTGTGAGTTGGGGTACTGCTGGAGTTTAACCAACTAAATCATTATAGCCATTGAGAGCATTGCCTGGTGAGCTTTCCCGCTGTTTATTCAGTGAGGAACACCCTACCCGTTAGGGCTTTTGCTTGCAGGGTTAACAGGAGCTGAGTGGGAAGAGTCACAGCCTTCATTGAGATGCAAATTCGTCAGCTGATAGGATCCATTATTAATGTTGATTACAATTTGCACATTGTTCATAAATAGGTGCATTAATATGGATGAGTTATAGATGAACAAGGATAAACTAACAACTGCCAGTGCAGCTCATAAGTGCAGTGTCCTATCGATCTCATCTCACCATTGTATACTCCACTATTCGCAAAGTAAAATTCTGGCTTGAAACAGAGCATAACCAATTATTTGCAAAAATATCAGATTTGATTTAGAGGCAATAAAAATCCACAAAGTTTTGAAAAAAATCTGGAAAATTTTCCTGTTTAAATCCACATTTGAGGCATGAACATGACAACAATTGGGTTCCTCCGATAGCACCATGTCATTGTGTCTCAACTTTCAGTTGAAACAAAGACTTGAAAACTATCATGTGAAATGTGTGGTGTAACAGCTATTGAGCATTTACACCAGAGTGGTGGAGCTGCATCAAAATAGCTGGCTGAAAACTCACCAGCAAACCAGCTATGCCCCTTTCAATAATATGTCAACTTTGTCAACACAGTGCAGTTTGGTGCTGGTGTTTTCAATATAAACATCCAAAGCCAGCCTAAAGACCTTATTACACACACAGTACATTTACCCCTAATATTTTGCATTCAAGCACTCCAGTAGAGATACTAAATCCCATGTGGGCCAAAGGTCACACCATCCAAACTCCCTGAAATGAGCTGGTTATTGATCTGTTTGAAAGGAGAATGTGGGGACAAGCTTCTGTTTCTGGTTCAATGTACTTTAATTAATAGTAGTGCCAGGAAAGTAATCTTTGTCAGAACTGAAATCTGAGACCCTCCCATTGAAGAAACTAGAAAAATTGACCTGCTGCTGCTCAATCTGGCTGAATGCATCATCGAAGAACAGGCTGGTAACTTAAAACATCTCTAAAGAGAAACAGCCCTTGCATTTGGGTCAAACACAATCCAGAGAAACAGACTTTCTCCCAGTATTTTAGTTGTAGGGGAAGGTTATCGTAGGTGGTTTTGCTGCACGGTTTAGATGAAGCGTTCACCTGAGACCATTCATAGCACGATAACTGGGTCAAGCTTTTTCTGAACACAGCCAATGTGTTCAGCACGTCTCAGCTGCACACGAGTGGTCAGAGGTCAACCCCGGCCTTGAAGGTAGAGGGATGTACTGATTGTAAGTCAGCTCATGAGGAGGAGCTACAATAAGAAGCCTGATTGTGTTAAAGTGAAAACTAATTGAAAAGCAACACACGGCCATGAGATCTGTTATATCATTCCAGACCCTGTTACATACATCTAAGAACAGAACATAGCTTGAGGCAATGTCACAGTTAGTGAGAATATCATTGCCCAGTTCTTCCGATGAGTTCCTGCAATAGGATAGTGAGGGAGGCAGAAGGCATCATGTAATATTAATATCAGTGACAATAGCACATGTCATGTTCCCCCTTTCTCACCACAGGGAGTTCCTCTCAATATCTGGCCAACAATCCCTCTGATAAATTGATCATTCATATCCTGGCAGTCTGTTACTGTGTGTAAATTGGCTGTTGCATTTGCCAGAAATAGACAGTTACTATACTTTACACTTTTCAACTTTGAGACTTTTCAGCAATGTACTATGGTGTTATATGAACTGCAAGAATTGTTATTTTTCAATCGTAGAACTCCTATTTGGTACCTTATTTTAACTTTTATTAACCTCGCAAGCAAGAGACTTGAGTATGATCCCCTGCATGACAAAACGTTGGGCAAATTTCTTTACTCCACGTGCTTCTGTTTACCTAGCAGTAAGTAGGAACCCAGATGTTAGTCATTTGGTGGATCGCTTTTCCAGGGATAATAATAATTCCTTCAAAAAAATAATA